AATGCATAGTTAAAGACGCAGAAACGTATCTACATTGGTAAATTCTTGATGGCCTCCAAACCTTAGTTAAAATGGCCACCAACAGCTGAAGATCTGGAGAACGTTGAGTATGTGTTACCTTCCCAACTGCAGAAGTTCCCGGGTTACGTCATAGCTGGGAAACTAACCCCAAGCATAACAAAAGTACATTGATTAGTACATTCAATAGGACAGGACATTTGCAGTGAAACAACTTATGGTGAGTGGGAGCTCTCAAAGCTCATACTAATCTCTATAACCCTACATCATCTGTTCAGAAATGAGAAATTGACAATTTTATTGAACAGAATGCGACATTCTGATAGTTATTCATTTTCTCTTGAGTTCAAGACAGCCATCGCCCAAGCCACTGATGAAAGATCAAGTGATTTACCCACTAAGATCATTCGTGATCCAGATGCATCTTCAGTCTTACGTTCGGAATTTGTCAACTTTGACCAGCTTTTGATTTAATTGGAATGGGTTCGACACACGGCTCATGCATCGTGATGCAGGATGTTAATGCTAATCCAGAGAATTATGGTGGTACAAGTGCAGAAATATCGCAAGTTCCTAGGAGTGGACAACGTTCCATAAAATTGACTCAGACAGATACACTAGCAGAATGTTACATTACACGATGTAAAAGTCCCAAAATTCGGATTCGACAAGTTACATGTGATGACGACAGTGACGCAAACATGTGACATTTAATTTGGGTTTTGATTAAGATGCTCAGCAGAGAGTTACAATAAGAGGTACCTAGTTGAGCAGGATTAATTTCCCTTACTGGACAGATGCCTACAAACCTTACAACAATCGATTATTATCCAGTAATTGCAAAAACAATCATAGATTATAAAACTGTGCAAGAGAGTTTGTGGTATGCAGAATAAGCAACATACGAGGTCAAATAGCAATATGTTATCATCACATCTGATTTGGAAGTATGCATTAAAGCATATCCTCTTGTTTGGAATGACCCAGACAAGTATGAAAAGCATATTGTGTTGATCGGAGCATTTCACTTGACATGTGTCTATCTAAAAACGATCACGAAGAAATGAATGGATCTGTTCTGTCTGACATCTTACTGGAGGCTAGCTTAATTGCTTCTGGTTCCTTCGATGGTGTCATGCTGGTAGGCACTATGACAGGGAGATGAATTTTCACAAAATGATGCTGAAATATCTTGAAAGATTGTTTTTGGAGGAATATAGTTTGAGTCGTGGCGACAATCAACTATTCTCGTCTATGTGTGAAGGTTCAAAAAGGATGCTAAATTATTTATTGCAATCTCCCTTCTTAGATTCGTTGAATACAATGTTGGTGTATAAATCATTGACACACTACATCCAGAAGTGCTTGCAGTATCGGACTGATGTACGAGAAGGACTCTAGGAAAACAAGTCAACTGTGGATTTCCTTCATGGATCATGTTTGGCTGGCGATTTCACTCACACAAGCAGTGAAACATAACGACTTCATTTTCTATGCACGAATGTCTGCATCTTATGGCCGACCTGTTCTTCAGCTTTGGTGGCCAAAACTACACTCGATAACTATTTCACTATGGGCTCGGTCCCAGAGACCGACCTCGTAATCATTATGTGCTTGTTATATTTTCATACAATAAGCGTATCTTCACGAAATTTTGCAGATTATCAGTAAACGGTACAAGGCTTTCGTATGTAAAATATCAGATTTTTAAATTAAGTTTAAGATTTTTTTAAGTAATGTTCTTCACATGCACTATTTCTTTTCGAATGTTGATTATCCAACATGCCAAGTAATTTTGATTTGAAGACTGTCTACAAATTCAAAGCTATCTTTCAGAGTATATTCATTATTAATAAAATATTTTAAATCTTTGCGCCTCCCAGTGGCACAGCAGTATGTCTGCGAACTTACAACGCAAGAATCATGGTTTCGATACCCGTGGTAGGCAGAGCACAGATAGCCCATTGTGTAGTTTTGTGCTTAAATTACAAACAAACAAATTTTAAACCCTTGCTTAAAAATTTTGCTACATTGTGATTATAGCAATGTTGGACACGATAGGTCTCACTCTTAGCAATGCATACAATATACCTGCATGCGAACCACTAGGTCTTATTTCTTTATAAATAGTGTTACGACAGCGGAGGTCACGTGACGCTAGTAACACGTCATGCACTTCTCGAACGTTCACGTCCCTTCCTGACTTCTCGAGAGCTTACTAGATTCGGTAATCTTGTATATATAAGACGGTCAAGACGTGACGGCATAAATGAAAGTAATGTGTAATTGACAGTTGAGTCGAGCACGTGAGACGTTCGTTGTGAATTATAGCTTTTGTTATAGCGCGACTGTGGAAATTAAGTGTATTGCAGAGTTGTATTCAGAAAGAATAAACTAGTTTTATTTGAGAAAGGACTTGTATCGCTAAAGTTTCTTCGAAAAGAATTTTTACGGAAAATTAACTAACGACCAGAGACGTAACAATACCATTAGATGAAACCATTGAGATATGCAAAAACTTTATTATATGAGAAAAGGTGTAGTTTTATGGGAATACCTGAAGAGATATTCCATGAATTAATGGTTATAGCTACAAAATAATCACATTTTTTGTTTAATGGTAAGGTTTATGATCAGAAAGGTAGAGTTAGTATGGGTTCCTGTTTGGCACCCATATTGGCTAATGCATTTATGTGTTTTAATGAAATTAAATGGTTAGAAGAATGTGCAAAGGAAATTAAACCGATAGTGTATAAAAGATATGTGTGAAGAATAAGTAAATAATTTTTTGAATTATCTGAATAAACACCATAATAATATTAAATTCACGGTAGAAAAAGAAAGAGATTGCATGCTACCGTTTTAGACACTCTAAAGTTGAAATCGCAATATATCATAAACCTACATTTTCGGGGTTGTAGGTCAACTATAATAGTTTTATACCTAATAACTTCAAAAAGAATCCAATCAGAATTCGTTAAATATATAGCTCATAAACTATGTAGTAATGTTGAACTGGTTAAAAATGAAGGGAAAACATCAAAATTACTTGTGTTTGAATAACTTCCCAATAAAAGTTTTAACACGATTTAACAACGATTATATGAACAAAGCTGTCACCCGTAAGGAAGAGAAAGATAATGTTCCAAGAAAGATTGTGTATATGACACTAACATTTACTGGAACACATGTTTTGAAAATCAAGAAAAATATAAAGAACTTCCTTTGTAATGTTTACCCACAAGTTGAAGTACGTGTGGTACTTAAACCAGTATACAGAATAAAGAACTATTTTGTATTCAAAAACAGAATATGCAAAACGGACCGATCACGTGCCGCTTACAGATATCTGTGCTCTGTTTGTTATAGTGCGTATAATAGGGTCGACGGTGAGGAGGCTTAGTGATCGAGTTAAAGAACACAGTGTGTTAAGGTATGCAGAATTCTCAAACATTTTCCGACATAAAGAAGAATGCGTGAATGCAAGTGTAAAAGTTAAACAATTCCAAATCACCGGAAAGGCTGAAAATGAGCACATTAGCCATAAAGAACTTAGCACCTGAACTAAACGGGAAATCCAGCACGGCTGAGGTGATGTTAAAAATGTGAGAGGAGCGAGAAAAAATTGTGTATACAAATTTTAACACGAAAACAAATGCTTCAATCTCATAACATTATACATCTATATGTATTTATTACTTTTATTTTATTGACCTTCCAGTCCTGCCTGACTAACATGAATGGCGCCGTGCACGCATGTTACCGTTTCTAAGAATATAAAACTGGCCTTTAGAAAGTGACCCGTGTTCTAGTGGACCAGTATTTTGTAAAATGGTCACATTTCGGTTATAATACATTATATATAGCTATATTATTACTATTTACAGATAAGTTATTGAATTTCAGTTACTTTCTTAACACACAGGACAATAAAAATAAAAGTATAGAAAACAATTATCTCTTCTAGTTACGAACTATGTACTCGTTAGCTGCTTGCCGTAAGTTGTTAATCTTTATCAAATTTCGCATGTGGATGATGTAAAACGAAATAATTTTTTTTAGGTTTTATATATACATTTTGAAATAACAAAAAATCGTAAATTACAATACCACATAATTCCACTATAATTTATCAAGCTTGTAACTAAGCTGTATTTGGGTTTAAAAAATATAATTTTTCGAGATCACTAATATTTTACCTTACCATTTGTAATCTAGAAGGAAAAGAAAGTTTCGCGCGCACGTACTTCGCAAAGGCTGAAAAAACCACTAGGGGGGACATTCTGAGCTTTCGATTGGTTATACACATGTCATTGAGCGAAGTACAGTGGTCCCCCTCCCCTCGCCGACGACTTCCCCGCAGTTACGACTTTTTCCCGATGCACCGTCAGTGTTTGCATGGTAATGTCCCCCTAATGAACGACATCCCCGTAGATGCGACATACGACCGATATCGGTCCTAACGGTTTCTCAGTTACGACTTTCTGTCCGAGTCATGACCTCTTTAATCAACGGAGACTCTAAATTAAGAAATCAATAAATTTATTTCCTTTTTTGTTGTCCATACATTTCATTTTATACTTTCAGTACATATACTAACAACAATATTAGGTTACACCTTTGTTGCTAAGCGACATGACACAAAAGCCATTGTTGGAAGTAGTGTTACCAAAACGCACTGGTTTTTCTACACATTAGCAGTTGTTAATATAACTGATTGTTACCAATAATTATTCTATGAATACACCATGAACTCATTTCATGAATGTTCTTAATTTTGATTGGCTCACAAAGGAATTTACCGACGTTTGACTGCCTTGAATACACATTTCTACCTCTTTGTTTGTCAAGCTTGATTTCGCAAAATTTATTTATTTCAATTATCTATAAAATGTACTATGGGGTGGTGGTGGTAGTACTCGCCCCGTCAGTTTTGACGGGCTATATGCTAGTGCTATACAATCCTTGTGATATTCAGCAAAATGCCTGGCAAACGCAAACACCTCACTATTCAGCAAAAGATGGAAGTCATCAAAATACACGATAAAGGTGCTAAATGTGTACATATTGCCACAGAAATGCAGTGTGGAAAAACACAGATTCAAACGATCGTAGCTGATAAACAAAAAATCAAAGCCCTCTGGGAAAGTGGTTCCAATCCTGCAATGAAAGTGACCAAAGTGAGAAAAACTGCCAATCATGAGCTCAATGAACAGGTGTTTGAATGGTTTTGCAATGCTCGATCGAAAGACATTCCAATCACTGGCAAATTAATCCAAGAAAAAGCAGTCATGCTCTCTGTCGAGCTTGGTCTTGATGATTTCTCTGCCTCAAATGGCTGGCTAGATCGTTTCCAGAAACGGCACAACATATCCTGTTCTGTCCTGTCTGGTGAGGGGGCGTCAGTCAACGAGGAGACGGTCAACGACTGGTGCAGCCGTCTGGAGAGCATGTGCGAGGGGTACAGTCTCAAAGATATGTTCAATGCCGATGAGACTGGCCTCTTCTATCGTGCTCTCCCAACCCGCTCCCAAGTCATTCGCGGCGACAAGTGCCACGGGGGCAAGTATTCAAAGGAGAGGAAAACCGTACTACTTGGCTGCAGTGCGACAGGCGAGAAGCTCGCCCCCCTCGTCATCGGTCGTGCTGCCAATCCCCGATGTTTCCGTGGCTATTCAACGTCTTCATGTCTTGCTGCCTGTCACCTACCAAGCCAACAAACGTGCCTGGACGACATCCACAATTTTCAAAGACTGGCTCCAAAAAATGAACAACAAAATGACTTGAAAAACGTAAAATCATAATGTTTGTTGATAACTGTGCTGCTCATCCTGCTATGACTTTGTCGAATGTAAAACTTGTATTTTTGCCCACAAACACAACAGCTCGTCTCCAGCCTTGTGATGGTGGAATCATCAAAGCCGTCAAATCCACCTACAGGAAAAAAACTTCTTCGCCACATCCTCCTTAAGATGAATGAGGCTAGCACTGCTGCTAATCTGGCCGGCAAGGTCACAGTGCTGGATGCCATATCTCGGCTGAAGTATGCCTGGGACTGTGTGCAGGCTGAAACCATTCAGAAGTGCTTTGCACACTGTGGATTCAGCTTTGCCACAGCTCACACGGCCTCTGCTGCTGCCACAGAGACGGCTCCAGCCGAACTGCTGCCACTGCTTCAGGGGTCGTCATGGGCAGATTTTGTTGAGTGCGACAACGAGGTCACGGCAACGACGGAGGTGTTTGGTGTCGTGGAAACTGCCCCTGAGGTCGAAGAAGAAACAGAAACCCTAGCAGCTTCTCACATCTCGGCCCGACAAACTCTTTCCCACTTTGAAGAAATAAGAGACCGAGCACTGGCAACCAACAACGAAAAACTTTTGGACATTGCCTTCGCGGGTTTGTCTGCTGTCGAACTTGATGTGTCATGTGTTAAGCAAACAAAACTGTCTAATTTCTTTATGTAAGATGAAGTTGTGTAAGTTGATATTGTGCATGCTTTGAATATTGATTGAAAAAAAAAAGATAAAAAAATATTTTCTGACTATTCATAGTGTTTCCACAGTTCGCATTTTTCATTTAGCCTGACGATCGCTACCTCTGACATTTACCTCTTAAAATGCAAAAATCTACGAAATGGCGAAAAAAACCCATAAGTTTTAGATGTTGAAATCAAACAATAAACACATTAATGTCACTTTATTCACATAAATAATCACTCTCTGTCTGTCCACGAATTTGGCACGAAAGGTGTGAAATCATCAATCAGTCGCGCTTGATTACCACTCGCCTCTGGCTCTGGCCATGGATGACTGGCCGACTGTAGGCAATGGCCCATCCCCTTCCCAACGACATCCCCGCAGATACGACTTTGATAGACTGGCTGTAAGGTCGGTCGTTAGAGAGGGGGACCACTGTATTTCTCCTAAGCAAGTATTTTCAAAAAAATGGAATAGGTGGGCAGGGCCACCTTGGTTGATTTAATAAATGTATTAATATAACAAAAAATATAAAATATAGGAGGTTCTTATCTTAGATTCTAGCTTGTCAATATCGGTAATTTGGGTATCTAATTCGTAAAAAATTATAGATTTTGTACTTTGACATCACAAACATCTAATTTTAACCAATGCTGCATTCAACATACCATGTGACACACAAAAAGTCGATATTTGGGATCTTTTTATATTTACTTTTAAATTAAGAGATTAATTAATGTATGATACAAAAATTTGAATTATAATCTACAATTTGATATCAGACTTATTGGCATACATTCATAAAATAGTAGTTCAAAAAAACTTTTCAATGTGAGTCTACAAACGTGATGACATGGCCTTTGACCAGTGACCATAGGTAAAGCCGTGTTGGTAGGGCAGATGAATCATTGACAAATGTTACGTATTCCAATTTCAAATAGCTTAAAACTGAGTTAAATTGTAATATAGGTTTAGTAGTTAAATAAATGCCGATATATATCCAACAAGGTTGATACACAGTTTTCTTTTTTAATACAAATATATTTTAATATACAACCAATAATACAATTTACAACAACAGTTATTAGAAATAGTTATTACAAACAATGATTTATATACAAAAGTTTTACAAACTTACAAGCAATATATAGTCTTCTTTCTAGTCTGGAACTTCCTTGATATCTTATCGAGGGTTCACGATGATCGAGATAATTCCGAGTTGACGTAAATAGAATTCACTTAATTGTTTGTTTTTTTTTATTTCACGCAAAACTACACGAGGGCTATCTGCGCTAGCCGTCCCTAATTTAACAGTGCAAGACTAGAGGGAAGGCAGCTAGTCATCACCACCCACCGCCAACTCTTGGGCTACTCTTTTACCAACGAATAGTGGGATTGGCCGTCACATTATAACGCCCACACGGCTGAAAGGGCGAGCATGTTTGGTGGGACTGGGATTCGAACCCGCGACCCGCAGATTGCGAGTCGAGCTCCCTAACCACCTGGCCATGCCGGGCCAATTCACTTAATAGGGAGCTAGCTAGCTCTGTGGTCTTCACTGATCTAACGTCGATTTTTTTTTCTACCGATGAAGTTAGGTAATGTTTTCGTAAAAGTACTAATGTCCGATGTGAATCCACTGAGGTTAAATGGTTTGTAATATTCGAAATTTATAAATGTTCCTGGTCAAATATCTTAAGTTTACCGAGTAATAAGCGTTATAACAATCACAGTTCCGAAGTTTATAGCAAACCAATATTAGATACTGTTTTTAGGCGCATCGAGTTGGTTATATTTATAGGCGTGTGGAGAGTTTCTCGAAATTTCAGATTACTCAACAATACAAACGCTACACTAACGTTTACGTACACACATATATTGTTGATTCTTACACTCGAGAATCATCTATAGCTTTATAGAATAGGCAGGAATTTCACAATACAGATTTAACAGTATAAGTTATGTACATTTATAAATATTAATTTAATTTAAACAACACTGATATTTATCCACTACCGGCACTTGTATTTAAAATTTTTTGATAAAATTATAATAAATAATTAATTAAAAACAATATTTTATATTTACACAATAAAAACTTTTATTGAAGCCGTACGGCTTC